TTGCGTTTGCTTCGTTGCAGTTCAAATATGAGATTTCTTGTGCCTGTATTTGCGCTTTTGTTTCCTCGCTCGTGTGAACTATAGATTATCTCTTGATAATAATAATAATAACATTATTATTATTATTACTATTATTAATAATATTTAGGATTATGATGATGGCAATTATACCTTTCTGTGAATTCGTTATCTTCTTAATAAACCTGATGATAACTGGTATTGGCCAAACGAAATATTGTAACTACCGTCTATTCACGTTGTTTGATCAGTCCTTGCCGTTCTCTTTATGACAAAAATTTATACTTTTATTACTTTTCATTTCACTGATCGCGATTTTTTTTTGATCCGACGTTGAGTAAGATTGATCTTACACGGTTTTTTTGTAGCGGTCTTGCACCTTAACTATACAATAACAATAGTAATAATAATAAAAAAATTAAAAACAAAAACAAAAAAGAACAAAAACAACAAATAAAGTAAACTATTTTTTTACCTGCGATTTTTCGTTCCGATGGAACCACCTCACTCGCCCGTCCATGATTTCAAGTGAGTACTGGGCGCGAGTATTCCACGGATTGTCCGGATTGCACGTGCTAAATATAGTTTGTTGACCACGATTGGTATCAAGTTTGAGCCACAGCGCTATGGTAACACTAAACAGCGGTTTCCTTTTCACCAGCTGACCGTTGATGAGAATGTTACCTAACAAATTTTTAAAATACTTCAGATCCTTTTTTTTTTCTTCTGACGTTTGGTTAAGACCTCGTATTAGCCGAAATTTGGGATCTGTAATTTACAGACTCTACAGAACCGCCCGAAAAGTTTCTTTGAAAAATGAAATAGGCCCCTGACAAAGGATTCTGCTCAATCGGTGATAATATTTTTTAATTTAACAAGCAAATAAAAAAGCGGTTAAAGTGGTTTAAATTCATTTTGATGGTACTGTTTTGAAGAAAGATACCGGTGAAAAATTGCGCGATCATGGAACAAGATTAGGGAACAAGAAATGTCTCATTGACTTTTTCTTAAGATGCCCATTCTTATATTGAATAGAAAGATTTAGCACCATAATTTCTTTTTCCGTTTGTTACTTCTAATTTCCTTTTTTTCTTGAACAAGAACTTGCTTTAGCAAGTACAGCTTTTCACCGGCAAATGGGGTATTTTTCTACCTTTAAATACATAACATAATTATGTGAGCAACCCATATACGAAATTGGGGCCAGGCTAGAATAATTCTTCTCTATTCACTGTAAAATCCCGCCAAAAGATGATTCAATTCTGAATCTTTCTTCAAACCATAAATAACACTGAGATAAAATATCAGTAGATAGCGCAGTTTTGGCGCCTTCTAATATCAATTCCTTATTTCCTCATTTTCACTCACCTCCATGTAGCTGAAGACCATTCCCACAATTCCCGCTGGTCTTAGTCACAGTGGCGAGGCTGGTGAGCTCACCGTTATTTCCGCTTCCGGAATCATCATACACCGCACTGCCTGACACGCGGTCAAACCCAAAGTAGAACACTTGGCCCGTGCTCGCTAAAACGACAAGGAAGCAACGATGTAAATCGATTTTTTTAGCTGAAAGACATCGTGGTTTTACTGCTCTCACCGGATATATAAATAAAACGTGAGATGCGTTTCTTATATTTTATTGTGTAGGGTAGGTAATAATGGTACATTTGTTTGAATTTAATGGCCTCCCTCGTTTTTATCTTTCACAAAAAAGAAGGGAAAAGCTTGTTTCCAGCAACTTTCCCAAGTAAGAGATAAAGTTGATTCTTGCATTGGGGATTTTCGTGGTAATCGTCAATCAGGAGCCTGTCGTCAATCGATTCTTAAAATATAAATAAAATCAGAATTAAGAAATATTACTATGATAAACCAAAAATGTTAAAGATGACAGTAACTTCGGAGTAAATTGAAAAACGAAAGGAAAGCAAGAAATAAATGTGAATCTATGATTAAATTTTCAGTTCAGTTGAAGACATCGGATAGACCATCTTATTGCAGTGGCAGATCCAGGGTAGGGGCGCGGGGGCCCGACCTCCCTTATTTCTAGACCAAACTGAGGCCCGAAGGGCCGAAAAATAATTTTTTTAAAACCGCCCTCGCCTTATCTCAGGGTCTGGATGACCGGGCCCCCTGTTATCTGAAGGCCTGGATCCGCCACTGTATTTTACGCGTGTTAACTCACGAGTTTTAGCTGAGCCGAAGTTACAATTGTCGTAAAGTGTTTTGACTTCAAATGGTAACAGCTCTCTGCTGTACATGTACACTTCATCCAATGTATCGATGTCAGTCACTGATCCCTGGTGTTTGCCAAATGCTGCATAGCTGTCCCAGTCCTCTGAAAGTCTTCCTGACCCAGGCCCTTGCTTGTTTATGTTTCCGTTGATATAGATCTTGGCTTGGGCACTTTGAGCACCATAGGTTACTGCGATGTGAATCCACTGATCTAAGAAGCACAATAAATATACTGAGTTTTGTATAAATCTATGAATGATCTAGTGAATGAATGACTTTATCTAACACGGTCAACTCATCAGCACTTAAAAACACTTTCTATACAAAACTAAAACTACTATAACTTACATGTTAAGAAACCTAGTTAAACTTAGAGCCTGCTTGACATAAGTACCGTATAGAAAGATCTTTGGAAGAATTGTTTGCAGCCAGCCCTGAAGGCCCCAAGAGAGTTAAACCTGCCGCAGCTCAATAGAAAGACTATTGCAAAGAACAGCTTCAGAGTGACTGAAACTATTTTTCATAAAGTTTGTATGGGGAAGAGGAATAGCGAGTTTGCCGTTGGTGCGTCTTAAAGAGCAGTAAGTAGTGATACTTCTCTCGTTAGATGTTCCGACATAAGATACTCGATAATGCAACCTTGATATGATAAGGTGCAGGCTTGAACGTCACCAAACATTATAGTCAAAAACTAGAGGAATTACCGGAGGAACCTGTAATACTTTTAGGCTTCCTGCAAGGATTTATTCCGTAAACAATTCAAGATGCGCACAAGATGGCGACAGACCCTGCCATGCGATTCAGTTATATATATATATATCTAGCCATCTTTTAAGATCAATGTACTTGATAACTAAGTGTTCTAAACCAAGATTTCTTGTGTCCACATGTATTCCTGTAACTGTCCTTACAGCGTGAAAAGTGGTTCATTGTCAGGAATCAAGCACTTAATGCCAGGAGTTATGCAAATTATTTTCTGCATTCGAGGCCCGTAAGTATCCACCTCCACTCTTCTATTTTTCACTCAGTTTGGTCGTTATTGGTTAAGAAGTAGCAAAGATAAAATCATTTATATTGAAAAGAACAAGTTGAGGCACATGACTTACTCTCAGTGACTATAGGATCGGTAATCACTTTAAACAACTCTTTGTCATTTTCATCATCATGACTCCAACTTACGGCTCCGTTATTAATGGTCAGCCGATACTGGTCATGTTTATGCGCCGAGTGTCCTCCGATCGTGTCAAACAAGTAATGCACACCATTTACAGAGGTTACGTTTATCCATAATGCTATTGTTACGCCATCAATTGGCTTGTTTCGAAAGGTTTTGCCGTCAAGTTTCACGTCTGCTTGACCGCCGCTTAGCTGTACGCCATCTCCGCAACTTCCCTTAGCAGCTATAGAAAATTGAAACGAAATCAAACGTTTGTTAATTAATCTCTTGGAATAGGGATTTATAGGCTTCTTAGTAGTCACACTATGTGCGCTAGTGCACAAAAAAGCGCGTTTCGAGGGGTTCTCTTTTCGCATGGCTATTGCTATTGCTCCTGCTCTGTGAAATGCAGTGAGAGGGAGGAAACTGCTTACCTACCAAATTCAAGATAATTACAAGTAACCAATGTGGTTCGTGCAATACTTACGAGGCGGTGGAGGAGGTATCGGCTGGCCTGGCACCGCAGGTGGTCCTGGCATTCTGGCGTGGTTCATCAGCCCTGAATCATCAAGAAACTGGGTACCACTTTTCTTGTCAAAGCTCAAATGCAAGACCATCGTGCTCTTCGGCCCTTGACATTTTTGTATAAGTGTTTTGAGTTCCGGTTCAGCGAGTGTCTTGTTGTATATGTAGAACTCATCTATAAAGCCTTCTAAACGACCTCTACCGCCAAATTCACCAATCCCTGTGTATGTGGATAAATATACGTTGTTGTCAATTCATTGGATTGCTTCCTCTTTCCAAAGTTGCGCGCTTTGGTCTTATTACGACGGTGTGACGTTAGTTTTGTTTTCTACACGAAAGGGAATATCTCTTGATCAATGACTAAGCTAAGGTTTTCGACCTCTGAGATTTATTTCCACCTACCAGCATATTTAGACCAGTCCCGCGACAGGAATACACCAGGATCCGCGGACTCTTGTTTGCTCAATTTACCATCAATATAAATCTTAGCACTACCTCGCAGACCATCGTACATTGCGGCCACATGGAACCATTTGCCATTTGAAAGTACCGGTCCTTCGGTTACAATGCTAAACACTGTAGAACCGTTTTCGTTTCGATGAAACCAGCGTATTCTTGCGTTTTCTACTTCTAGCTGATACTGGGCTAAAACATAAAATGAAAAGCTTGTGATTTTTGTTGTAATTCTATAGCCAAAATGAAGAAGGCTAACCTGTGCGACCATCTCTAGAAGTGGACTTTCGTTTAATTACAATCGCTAAAAATTCACATATCCCGGCCAACGTCCTAAGATTGCCTCTCTGTCCAATAGGCCATTTCCGAGTTCCCCCGGGCCTCTGTTTCAAAACGAGGGTAGATGCTCAGCCTTTGATATGAAAATCATTTTTCATTCTCATGCAAATAAAACTCATTTTCACAAGAAAGGTTGTGCACTTAGCCTCATTTTGAAAGTGAAGGTTTTTGAAACTCGGTAGTGGCCTATTATTCTCCTTGACCTAATACGGGATACTACTGTGACGCTATTAAACGGACTTATTAATTTTTTCTCGGTCTCAGGTAAGGAAAACTGAAAACATGCACTCACAGTCCCCGTGATTAGACATTGGCGGTCCTCCGATTGTCTCAAACAGCACTATTGTCCCAGATGTGTCCTTTAGCAGAACCATCATGGCAATCATAACTTCCATGTAGGGGATACCTGTATTGATCGTGAAAAAAGGCTTTATTTGAGTCTCAACGTGTATTTGGCACGAAAGTACTAATTGGGAACTCTATTTTTCCGTCTCCAACTGTAGACGGGAGCACCATTTTACGCGGTCATCCGAGCCACGTGATGACCTAGCCGCTTGCACGACAAAGGAAGTACTTTTATTTCTCAGATATTTTAAGACTCTGAGCATTGGTCGGGTCCCGGACAACGAACCCACGACCTTCCGCTCTGCAGTCAAGCGTTCTACCGGCTGGGCTAATGCTGTCACGGCTAAGGGTAAAAAAAGATAAACCTGTTTAACTAGGGTAATAGTATCCAAGTATCCCCCAAAGGGGAGGTGAATAGTGGTGGATATATACCTCGGTATATAACTGTATCTAGCACTGTTCACCGACCCTAAGGGGGATACTTGTTTTAGTATTTACCAAATCAGTTGGATAAATCTGAAAAAAGTAACTTTTTGTAAATAAATAACTTCACTTAGTAGGAAATTTGTTTACCGTTTACCAACATTTCGGGGATTTTGTTAAGTGCATTTTACGATGTTGTGGGGCTTGAACCCGGGGCCCGTTTCTTGAAAGTCCCGATAACTTTTCGGGCCCTCAGGCAAATTTTAAATCCTTTTGAATAGTACAGATAGTAGCACAGTTTCTAGCTCATAAACGAGTCAATTTTGCTTCGTCAGCTGATAGTTTCGTTGTATTATTTTCAAAATTATTGATCTTGAATGGAAACACGACAAACACAAAACAACCTTCCTGGCCCGAAAAGTTACTGGGACTTTCGAGAAACAGGCCTCTGGACGTCAAATTACGAGTCCAGCGTTCGGACAATTCGGCCATGTGGCCTCCCATAAAAAAGTTATGCCCCGTTGATCAATAGTAAAGCAGCCCATCTAGGTGATGCCAGTAGTATAGGCATTTTAAGCAAATCAAAATACTGGCAAATACTGTTATTCCAGTTAAAGGTGTTCCTTTTAATAAGACTTCCGTGTGTCATTTATCCTTTAGTGGGCCAGTTAGCCAATAAATGACTGAGTAATAAGCTAACCTGGTGGCTCACAGATCACTGAAGGTTGCGCTTGATTGATTGACTTGGTGCCCGCACGCACAGATTAATAAAAGTTTTAATTGGTTGGTTGACTTGGTGCCCGCACGCTATGAATCTGTTCACAAACTTCCTTTGCGTGTTGACGCATTGATATCCTGCTAGGTGTCTGATTAATTGATAAAACCTTAATCTTAAAATGAGTCGTTAGAAGAGTTCATTATAAATGCACCAAAGAAGGTGAATGTAACTTACCAACGAATTTCGATCCATCTATTTCGACACCACCGCCACAACACACTTTCATAGATAATTACAAGTAACCAATGTGGTTCGTGCAATACTTACGAGGCGGTGGAGGAGGTATCGGCTGGCCTGGCACCGCAGGTGGTCCTGGCATTCTGGCGTGGTTCATCAGCCCTGAATCATCAAGAAACTGGGTACCACTTTTCTTGTCAAAGCTCAAATGCAAGACCATCGTGCTCTTCGGCCCTTGACATTTTTGTATAAGTGCTTTGAGTTCCGCTTCAGCGAGTGTCTTGTTGTATATGTAGAACTCATCTATAAAGCCTTCCAAGCGACCTCTACCGCCAAATTCACCAATCCCTGGGTATGTGGATAAAAATACGTTCTTGTCAATTCATTGGATACTTCCTGTTTCTAAAGTTGCGCGCGCTGGTCTTATTACGACGGTGTAACGTTAGTTTTGTTTTCTACACGAAAGGGAATATCTCTTGATCAATGACTAAGCTAAGGTTTTCGACCTCTGAGATTTATTTCCACCTACCAGCATATTTAGACCAGTCCCGCGACAGGAATACACCGGGATCAGCGGACTCTTGTTTGCTCAATTTACCATCAATATAAATCTTAGCACTACCTCGCAGACCATCGTACATTGCGGCCACATGGAACCATTTGCCATTTGAAAGTACCGGTCCGTCGGTTACAATGCTAAACACTGTAGAACCGTTTTCGTTTCGATGAAACCAGCGTATTCTTGCGTTTTCTACTTCCAGCTGATACTGGGCTAAAACATAAAATGAAAAGCGTGTGATTTTTCTTGTAATTCTATAGCCAAGAAGGCTAACCTATGCGACCGTCTCTAGAATTGGACTTTCGTTTAATTACAATCGCTAAAAATTCACATATCCCGGCCAACGTCCTAAGATTGCCTCTCTGTCCAATAGGCCATTTCCGAGTTCCCCCGGGCCTCTGTTTCAAAACGAGGGTAGATGCTCAGCCTTTGATATGAAAATCATTTTTCATTCTCATGCAAATAAAACTCATTTTCACAAGAAAGGTTGTGCAC